AAAAAAAAAAAAAAAAAAAAAAAAAAATACATTTCAACAAATGAATTTCATAGTCTCTAGGAAAATTTCAGAATCCAATAGTAGAAGAGATAACCGCGAACGAACAGTTAACTGGAGGTAGATTACGTGCACGTAACGAGCGGGAACTCGTAATCGATCTAGTCGTAATTTAGAGAGGAGCAGACGGGTATTGCGAGGCATCCATAGACCAATCTACATTTTATCGACGAGACTTCCAACTTATCATCTTACATCGGAATTCCGAAAGTGATAGCACGATGACATTTGCATCGTGTTATCGTCACGAACTCTACAATCTTTTCTTCCTTTTATTCCTAATTAATCGAACGAAAAGTAAAAAAAGAAAAGAAAAAAAAAAAAAAAAGAAACGAATAACGTTTACGAGTTAAAAGTTTAAAAGTTATTTCTCCCTAAAATTAAATTTGTCTTTCTCGATTTCGATCGAAATTTTTGCTACTTTTTTTCGCGAATCATTCGTAAATTATTCGATTAACAGGAAACCAGAGGAAAAAAAGTTTACCTGGTGTCGTTACGACGATGTCCACGATAAAACGCAAGCTGCACGCCGTACACGCTGACCATCGATCGTTTCCTCGATAAAACAGAAAAAATATAAATATTTCTTCTTCCAACGAATGAAGATTTCTTGTAGATCTAATCAGGTTTGGCACGAACCATATTTCTTTTTATAGATATGTTGAAATTGTCGAAAACGGTAAATTCACTGAAAAGCAGCGAAAACACTTCGGAACTGAACGCACTGAGCGCGGATGTCCACTATGTATCGAGGTCAATTTAATCACGTTCACAAAACTGTCACATAATCACGGTGCACCTCCGGCGGTTCGCAAGTATACGGTTTCCGCGTCCCGTTCAGCTAGTCCTGAATAGTAGATAATTGATGCCACCACGATTCGTACGATCTTCCTGTATTCGATATTATCCTTCTATATTAAATCGCGAAATTGTTTTTACATCGATCCAACAAAATCCATTAATATTCCAATAGTGATATAATAACCTGGGCTAACAACATTGAAACTTAATCCTCGAATAAGGATCCGTAAACAGAAATTCTCTTATGCCAATTGATTTACGAATCGATAATTTTTCGAAATCCTTTCGAACCCGATAACGATATAAATATTGTGCATATACATACGTATATTCTCCTTTGTATTTATCGATTTCTAACCGTTTATCTTCTCACAATCTTTCCATCTCTTGTCGGGATTACACTAATTTCTTCCACTTTTACCTTGTACGTACACTTTATGTTCCAACGAAAGAAACTTGACACGAGACGCGCGACGACGCGCCATTTTTATTTTCCAACAACGCAAAATTTCACTGAGGCATCGATACAAACAATGGATCGATCAATCGAAGATTTCGAGAAGACTCGGATTGGCGGGATAACGATAGGTATGGCGCGTGCGCAGTTTGGGCTGATCCGTTGTCACACGGAATTCGTCGGATATCGGCTGGTGAAGAGGCTGGACCTGATATCAAGAAGAAGGTACTCCGGGCAGGTTGTCTCGCGCAACTGCGGCCGCCGCGGCCAGCAAATTGCCTGCTTCCGGGCCTCATTACATCACTCTGTTACTCTGTTAACGCTCGCCGGAAACCCCTCTGCCTACCTCGTCTAAACTCTCTCTCGCATGTACCTACACACACTATTTAAATGCACTGTGTCGCGGACGACGCGGCCGCGCGTACTTCCAATACGAAAGAGGAAGAAAACGATACATGCGTTTACCTTGCTGTATTTTCTTGTCGATTTTACCGTGGATAGTTAAGATTCTGTATTGAAATTTGATTCTGCGTTGAAAGAAGTTTCTCGTGTATATTATTATATTCTTACGATGATGTTGATCCTCCGTTTTGAGTGAAATATTCTTGTAATAAAGAGGCAATTGCATGATAATTGCTTGTTTACGATAAACTGAAGATTCATACGTTATGACTCATTATTGTTAAAATCTAAATTCATTTTTAAGGAGAAGAAAAGAAAAGAATATTAAAATTCTAATGATATTTATATAGAGTGAATATTCTAATGAAACTTGAATGATAATTTATTCGTAATTTATTTTATTGGATTTCTTTCAAAAAGAAATACTAGAATTTTGAATACTTTTGCAGGTAAAAATCTATAAATAAAATAAATGTTAAATGATGATTTTTCTTCGTTTCTAGATTATTATTGAATGAAATGAAAAAGAAATATAGCACGACACAATTTTATGATGATTCTTCATGAATTCTTAAATAGAATATTTTCATAAGAACTTTTAAATTTTGTTACAAAATTGTGGTAAAATTTTTTTTTTCAATTAATAATATAATTTTATATATAAAGAAAAAAGGAAGAAAAATCGATCATTCTAATAAACATTCTAAATTAATCCTTAAATTTTATCAATATTAAATATACATACTTAGACATATCGATTCGATAGATCGTATCCCGATATTTTTCTTCGAATATGCAAAATACGAAGCTCAAGGAGCAATGAAGTTTTTCAAATGCAAGGCATAAGAAATACTAGTAGATCGATAAAAAAACTGGAACGATTTCCATGATCACGATCCCATGCTTAATACATGACAAAGTTCATCGAAGCAAAAAAAAAAAAAAAAAAAAAAAAAGACAGCGAGCAAAACATGGATATTACCTGAACGAGGCGCTCTTCCTCTAAAAAGAGGAATCTCTTAACGACAAAAATAGAGACGGACGATATAACCGGTAGAATAACAGTCTCGCGGAAAAAAGAGAGAAAAGAAAAAAAAAAAAACAAGAACACCGATTTAAAAAGATCCAAGAGTACATTTTAAATTTCTCTCTCTCTCAAACAAAAGAAAGAAAGAAAGAAAGAAAGAAAAAAAAAGCATTAGAAATAAATAATAAATAATCGAGTCGAAAATA